CGGCGGACGGACCGCCTCTGTTTCGTTGACTGGCCGCCAGATTTCGTCCGCCGGTACGAGTCCGGGTCCGCTGCCCCAGGCTTTATCTCCCATTCCTTCTTTTATTCAGATTGCATATTCTCCCCCTGCTCGTGCTCTTTCCGCCTCTGCTCTCTCCGCCCCTGCTCCTGCCGACGCAGCCGAGGTCCAACTTCCCCCCCGGCGACGGCCCATGCATCCCTGTAGATGAGCACGCAGGCCCCAGACAAGTCCGCCAGGCAGCGCAAGAGCTGGAGGGCAGTGCCCGATGGGGTCCTCGGGAACGATGTGCCGCAATGCATTCTCCGCGATCGCAGGATCGGCCCCGGGCCCAGTGTCCGCCCCGGTCTCCTCCCAGAGTTGATGCTTCCGGTGTTGACGGCCCAGAAGTGGCCATGGCTCCAGATGGGCCAGATGCTTTCAGCTGGTGCGATGATCTCGAGGATGATCAGAAAGAGGAGTGATGGGAGGAACTCTGTGGGTGGCGCAGTTGGGGGTCGACCTTCTGGGGGCATGAGTCCAAATGTGTTTCTGTCCCCTGCGATCGCAAGAGCGGAGCGCATCCGGCTCGGAGGGGCGCGGAGGTTTCTTTAAAGAGTTCGATTTCCGAGGAGAGGCGTCTCTTCGATTTTTCGGCCACCAAGGAATTGCAAGCGATCGTGGGTTCTGGCGCCGTCCGAATCGTCCCCGTCGTTCCTGCGGCGCAGTTGATCAGACGCCGCTGGCCCGACCGCATACTGGGGTCGCGCGTGGCTCGGAGGTTCAAACCCCAAGAGGGCTCAGGCGCTGCCCCGGAAGCCAAGTCAAGGTGGCGCGCGCACGGGCATCAAGATCCGGTCGGGGGGGGGCCTGCCCCGCAGGCCGAGAATCTGATGCTCACGCTTCAGGTTGTCGCCCATCTTCGAGTGGGCGCTCGAGGTGGCGGGCGCCAAGAACACATCTGCCAATCAGACAAGTTGCGCCGCCCCCTGGGGGCGATTTTCTGTGAGCCACGCAGAGGTCTTCAGCTGGCTCCGGAAGAGCTCGTAGATCTCGTGGCACCCGTCAATGGTTTGAATATTGCGCCGCTGCTGTGGCGCCGGACTCTCGCAAATTTCCATGTCGGGGATGGCTTCAACAAATCATTGTTGGAACCTTGCCTGCGGGTGAAACTGTCTTCCCGGGGGGGCTCCCAGGGCCATGTGTCTGTTCGAGGTTGGCGATCTTTTTTCACTCCCCCATCCGGCTGAAAGAGAGCCCAGATCATCCGCGACCGCCTAAAGCCGGTAGCGAGGTAGCAGAGCCGGTCGTTACTGGAATACTGGAATCCAGGGATTGATCCCGGTGTCAAGCGTCACGCGTGCACGGTTGAATCAGCGCGCACACTCCGGTAATTCGTTATTGGATTCGCGTTCAGCGATACTGGATTTCGGCGTCTCGTCGCTACGGGAATCCTGCGCCGTCGTCACCGAAATTTAGCAGCAGGGATGCCGAAATCCGCGCCTGGCTCGTCACCGAATTTCGCGTTCGACGATGCCGAACTCTGCGTCGCAATCGATGCCGGAATTTGGGTTACCAATGCCGAAATTCAGAGATCATGGGCAGCGGCGTTTTTCAATTACTTCGAGATGGCGTCAAAACCGGGACCCGGTCGCGACCTGAAATCGAACACCCAGAAATCCGTTACCGAGTTAAGCCGGCCCCAGATGATCTGGGGGGGTCTGTGGCAACGTCTTCAGGGGAGGCTCACCTTCGGCAAGTGAACAAGGGGGAGTCGTGCTTTTGCGGGCCGGCATTTGAAGCAGGTGTCTGGCGGGGAGACTCTAGTGGATCAAGAAAAATACGTGATGGGGCAACTCGTGCCCATGATGCTCGAGATGAAAGAGCAGGCGCGCCGACCCTGCTTCTCTCTGGACGACAGAGGAGGCGAGAGGAGATCGCACGGTGGTGGCCCAGGTACCGTGGTTTGCGCGAGATACCTTGCCCGACGTCGCGGGGGGAGCTCCCTTGCAGTCGGAGGGCGATATCGCCTGCCTCAATAGTGCGACATTCGAAGGCGACCGCGCCCTAGCACATAGTGGGGTGGCCTTGAGACCCCCTCTCTCTGACCTTCGTCACCATTTCCGACGCCGGGGGGCCGGGATCCGCGAGGCGGAACGGGGCTCAGTGTTTTTTTTCTCGTCGTCGCGGCGGACGCTGAGATTCGAAGAAGTTGTCGGGCCAGAGCCTCCCTGCTGGCCTGGAGATCCACTCGTTTGAGAAGGGTTGCGTCTTCTACCTCTGCGGCGGAGACCTTGAGTCTGTCTGCCGCTCCCGCCGAAGCCCAGTGGCTCCAAGCACTTTGGAGGGATCTTGTTGTCGCCGATGTCAATCGACCTGATTGGCATTTGAGTTCGGCTCCCTTCCTTGTGTTGTTCTGGGCTCGCAGCGTACGTTCGCCCAAGACGTCTCCTCCCGTTCGCAGTAGATACCAAGTGTGTGTATTCGACACTCGCAGTGAAACGCAGTGCGGGCTCGAAGCATGATCGTCGCACAACGATCGAACTAGCCGTGGGCAGAAATGCGATGTGCGCCGTAGGTTCTCAGATGCGATGGGTTCCCAACGGGTGGGCGGCCGCCGATGCTCTTACCGAAGCAGGCACCGGGCGGGGAAACCTAGTTCTGACTGGTCTCCTGTGTTGCGGATCTACCTGTCTTATCGACGAGGATTGTCATTTGACGAGGGCCCTTTCAACAGTTCCCTGACGTGTCGAACGAGGACGGCGTCGCGGTAGGACCTGTCCAGAGAAGGGATAGGGCGTCATGTGGAGTTTTTGGTTGGCTATGAGTGGTTTGGGGGGGTCGGCGATGTTCCTTGCTCCCTGTCCGCCCGCTAAAAATGGTCCCGCTGTCTTCAATTTCCTCGCCTCCCCACCCGTCTATGTGACTGACAGGCGGTTGCAGCCATTTGGGTTTTTTGGTGCGCTGACGCGCCGGTTACTGTGTGCATCGAGTATGTTCTTAACCCTCTCTTCAAAAAACAGTGTTCCAGGCCTATCGGCCTCCGCTCGCCCCAAGCCGTCTCTCAGGGCCCGTGTCCTGCACTTTGACGATCCAGTTTCTGTAGGATGTCAGCAGCAGGAGTTTGTGCCAAATTTCATGTTGGGTTTCGTCATTTTTTTCGGCCCCGCCAGGCGGTCCCGAGTCTCCCGAAACCGAGTTTTACGTTTTCCCTATATACACCCAGATGTGCGACTTCTTGGTTTTTCTATACGGGGTCCGGCGTTTCATCCTGAGTCGTTATTGGACGGGCCCGGGGCCTGGTGAAAGCCGGTGAGGGCCCCCAGAGGCCGAAAACGCAGAGAAATTTCGCGAGGTCGTTTGGGCACGCTACGAGTCCGAATCCTCCGCGTGCCTGATGCCCCATCCGCCAGGAGCGACGCGGGGGGGGGGGGCAGGGGCAGCCGCGGCTGGGGCCGAGGCGGCGGGGGCCACTGCCGAGGCCGCGGCCGCGGCCACAGACGGGTTGAAGCCGAGGCCCGTCAGGGCTGGAGTCGAGTCGGGGGCCCAGACCCACTCGAGTCATGAAAGCTTCACGACGGGAGGTCTTTCGCTATTTTCGGCCTCCAGGAGCCCTTGCAGGGCCTCGGGGCTGTCAAAAAGAAAAGGCAGGATGAGGAACCTGTCTCGAGGAATGGGCAGTTTTGAAATCATGGCGTGGGGGGCCTGGGAGGTTGGCCGGGGCTGGAGTCGAGTCTGGGGGCAGGGCCCAGCGGACCCGAGGTTGGGTCCAGGGGGCCGGGGCACGTCGTCTTGGCTGGGCGCCAGGCCGCAGAGGGTACCGACAGACAGCACCGGAGATATCTGGACCCCCGACGCCATGATTTTCCACGACGATGACCCACAAAGGTCTCGACCCATTCCCTGGGGCCAGTTTTCCATCCTGGGCTGTTTTCCGACGGTCCCAGGGACCAGTCCCCCAGAGGCCGAAACGAGCGAACGCCTTGTGTCGTGTTTTTGCTCCTAGTCTCGAGGGGGTCCAGGGAGGGGGCGTCGAGCCGCGGCGAGCGCGGCCGCGGCGAGCGAGGGCAGGTCGCGGGCAGCGCGCCTGGTGCCCACGGCCTCTCGGCCCGAGTCTCCTCGGCCGCAGCCCGGTGGGTGCCGGGCGGCGCTGCGCCGCGGATGTCCCGCGCGGAGCGTCTCCGCGCAGGGCTCATTTCGACCCGGTCGATGCGGTTCGATGTTGGTTTCGACCAGCCCGATGTTTTACCGATGCCGCCACCCTCCGCCCGTGTTCTCCACCTTTCGGCCTCCTGGGAGGCCCTCGTCGCCACATCTGGATTCGCCTCGAAATCTTGGTCAGAAAGCATCCCGGGAGAGTTCCAGGGAGTAATTAGTGGTATCGGCACCTTTTGGCTTCTCCAGATCCGATTCGATTCCGATGTTCCATCGATCCGGTGTGGCCTGACGTATGCATGGCGCTGTTGTGCAGCACGGCGCAGCAGCAGGTTCGATCCGATTCCGACTCCGTACCGATACAGCCGGATCCGACGCACATTCCGATTCGATCCGAGTTTTCGATTCGATGCTGACCGATCTTGCCACGGTGTCGCGTGTCCTTTGAGATCGTGCCATCAAAGCGTCGGCCCTCCAAGGCACGTCGGGATGAGTCCCTCCAGAGCGTTCCACAACGCTCCCAGAGCGCTCCGGGGCGCTGTGGCCCGGCCGCAGCGCCCGACCGATTCTCCATAACCGCCGAATCTCAGAGGTCCCTGACTTGCCCAGTCTGGGTGTGTCTCGGCCCTGGCCTCCTCTTAGTCAGCATGGGCAAAGACATGTGCGCCGCCCATGGTGAGGCTCGGGTGCGGCACCGACCGCTCCCTGGCAAGCCGACCCGACTTGTGCTCGCCCTCGGGGCGCCCCTCCAGCCGTGTGCCGACGTGCTCGGCCGGAGGCCCGTCACGGAGGGCGGTGGTGGTGGCCAGGCCGTGCCCGAGGAGAGGGGTGGGTGGCACCGCCGCCAGGCGCACAGCGTGCTGTACATGCCGGTCGCCTCCCCGCCGAGGGGGGGGAGGGTTGGTGCGATCGGCATGGGTGCGGAAGGAATGGGTGTTACCAGCCTCGAACTTATCCCTACCCCCAAGATTGACACGCCAAAAGGCGATGACAATCTCAGGGGTGCGCCCTCAAGAAATAAGGGAATCCCTAAGATCGGCATCGTGATAAGGAGATGCCCACAATAAGGGATAGGGATATGTTCCAGGTTGGTAAGGGTGCGACGACCGGCGGTGGTTCTGTCGGGGGAACGGAAGGCTCGAGAAAGCCGGAATTCGGGTTTGCCTATCTACGCTTTTCGGCGAGCGAGTACGGGATTTCGACGGTACAGTGTGCGTGGGATGTCTACAGAGGGAGTCCGCGTCAATTTTCAGATTGGGTTCTGTCATTTGCATGATGGCCCCGTCGAGCCAATCCGAGCCCCCTTGACCCCCAACCCGAGTCTTACGTCTCCCCGATTTGAAACAGACTCGCTGTCGGTGTCTCCACGAAGGTTGTCCATTTGAGATTGACGGCTGGCAGCCCAGCAGCGGCCGCTGTCGGTTTTGGAGGACACTCGCTGTTAGGAAGCGTGCCCATGTGTTCCATACCATTTCGGGCGTCCAAAGAGGAGAGCAACGTGCGGGAGGCAGCGGAGGGCAAGTGGCGGGCGGACAAGGATCGAAGCCCCTCGGGCCGAGGGCAACGGGGGGGGGGAGGAATGATCGGGGGGGCGACCGAAGGCGCGCCTTTCAGGCGCCCGTTGGACCCGGCGTGGCAGTGTACGGCAGGTTTGCGTCGTGTCGACCGTCGGCGACCCATGCTGGCGTTCAATGTCGGACGCCGCCAGCGACCCAAAATCGGTCGATGTTGACGGATCTGACGTTTCAGCGCAGGGTCAGCGCAGACTTTATCGATAGCCAGGCGCGCGCCGCGGGTTTGCACCTCGTGCGGGCCGCATGCCACCTGCGAGGCCGTGCCACCTCGTCCGGCCCCTCCTCCTTCATCCCCCTTTTTGCTTGTTGCCTTCGTGTTTTGCGGTTACGCAGCCTCCCGGGAAGCGACGCAACAATCAGCTCCCCGCGCAACGTCGCGCGTGAGCGCCTTCTTCTCCACGCGGCGTGCCACGCTGGCGACCCGCGCGCGTACGCCTCCGCGCAAAGCCGCCGTGCTATCTCGCGTCGCCCACATGGGATCCGAGTGGGCGGGGTCGACGGTCGGAGGATTCCGCCGCATCGGCGATGCTGCGCGATGTGGAACCGATTTTTGCCAACGCGCGCCGACGTCGCCGATGCATCGCCCAAGTCGTCGGTGCATCGCCGATGTATCGGCGATACGGCGCGATCCTCCGACCCCATCTACTCAGACCCCACGTAAAGGGCCCCTAAGGTCTGGGACAGCCTGCAGAACATGATGTTCAGTCAGATGCTGAGCGCTTTCAAGGCGAGGGCAGCCCAACTGCAGGACTCGTCCCAGCCGCACGCGATGGAGACTCGGGGGAGTCAGATGTCAGGAGGAAGATTATCGGATCGGACCCGTGGAGTTATAGCGCCGCTTAAATGCCAGGAGGAGGCGGCGTTGGAACAGGAGGAGTAAGAGGTCGAAGAGCAGCAACAGCAGCTGCAGCAGCAACAGCTGAAGCTGAGCAGCAGTAGTAGCAGTCACCCAAGCCTTGTGCTGTCTATGGAAGCCTGGTGCACCCTCGACAAGATTTGTACGTAACCACATGCCCCCACCACACCGCCACATCCTACCATCCCTTCACTATCTGGTCAAACACGCCGCGTCGGAGAACACGATACTGCAGGACTCAGCACGGTAATCATTCCGACGCCCTCGTTGGTTCAAGCGAAACACGCCATGTCCGATGGTCGATTGGTTTGTCTCATTCTGTAATTCACTTCCATCTTCAGTTCCCCCTCTCAAACTAATTTTCCCCAGAATGTCTTCCCCCCTCGTTCCCCCTCCCTGCCACTTCTCTCCCTCCTCCCTTCCCCTTCCCTCCCTCTCCTCCCCGTCCTCCATTTCCCCTCTCCTTCCTTCCCTTCCCTCCGTCCCTTTTCCCAACTTCCTTTCTTTGCCCACATCCATTCTCCTCCACGCGATCGGTCTGGCGGATGATTTCCAACTTCTAGTTTCGCTTGCTTCTCCTTACGTATCTGCCTTTCCTTCCTCCTCCCCGCTCTCTTTCCTTTCCCCTTGGCCTCCAATTCCTCCTCCTCCTCCTCGTCCTCCTCCTTCTCCTTCTCTTTGTCCCTGTCTTCCTCCCTGTCTTCATCCTCCAATCCTCTCCTCACACTTTTCCCCAGCCCGCCCCTTCCCCTTTCCCCGCTCCCCTTCCCCCCTCTCCTCACAGTTTCCCCATCACAACCCGCTACCATTTCCCCTCGTCCGCGGGATGCCCAGCTCACTCCTTTCACGCGAAGGAATAGCATTTGTTCAGATTCGTACCTTCAGCTTCCTCATCTCACGTTTCCTCCGCTCTTCTCTTCTCTCTCTCTCTCTCCCTTTCTCTTTCTAATTTTCCCCGGCTCTCTTTCTCCAGCCCTTCTCGTCGCAGGTTTCCCTCTGCTCCTACTTCCTCCCTCCTGTCTTCATCCTCCGTCCTCCGCAGCCTCGGCGCTAGACCAGTCTCAGGTCCAGTGCCCACCGAGGCCACCCTCCTCCCCCCGACTCGCCCGGCCCTCGCCACCGTCGTCGGCCGTGGCCATCGGCCGACACCGCCGCAGCCGCCGCCGCCGTCGAAGTCGCCGCCGCCGTCGCCGTTGCCGCGCAGTCCTCGCCGTCGCCGTGAGCCGCCGCCGCAGCCGGCGCCGCAGAGGTCGCCCGCCGCCGTCGCCGGCGGTCGCCGTCGAAGTCCTCCCGCCGCCGCCGCAGGCCAGCCGCGGCGGCCCGCCCGCCGACGACGCGCAGGCCGCCGCCCCCGAGGGCGCCGCGGCGTCCGCGTGAGGGGCGTGCGCGCCTCGGGCGGGGCGGTCTGCCGTGCGCCCAGGGCGTGCGCCTGGGCTCCTGGGGCGCGCCTGGCCGCCCGCGCGCCGCCGGGAGGGACCGGTGCGCGTCGAGTCACGTCGATAGGCGTCGAGGGGGGTCGATCTGGCGTTGATGTTGTGTCGGTGGGTGTGGGGTCGCAGGGGCCAGCAATGTTGTGGGGGAGGCTCCCGCGAGTTGCCACCGAAGGTACAGAAGAATGGGCACGAAGACCGACAGCAGGTGCTGATCATTCTTCATCCTGGACAGGACCGGCTTTTGGTTTCGGCGCGGACGTTGTCCATGTGAGACAGATTGCCGACTGTCCAATGGCGTCGGCTGTCGGTTCGGGCGGGGCAACATGTGTTGTGGGGCATCGTTCTGATTTTGTCCGTTCTTGTTACGGGCGTCCAAAACAGATCGGACCGGCGGCGTTGGAAGATGTATGCGTCAGGGGCAGCGTCAGGGGAGGAGGACAGGCTCAGGGGGGATGGAATCGCCGATGGGGGCTCGATCGCCCAACTGGCCCAGGACAGTACGGATCCGCTACTGGGGACCATCGCCGAACTAGCGGCGATGCATCGCCGATTTAGGCTCGACATTTCCCCCGTTGAGCTGGCCCCCCTTATTGTTGCCCCTCAATCGAGCACCGCGGCCGTTCCAGAGCGCTCCGTAACCTTGCGAGAGCGTTTGGGAGCGCTCTGGCACGATTTATCCCAGTCCTGGCCCCACCCGGCCTGCCCCGCGTTGCCGGCAGCTTCCCGAGGCCATCGGACAGTCTTGTCCCTCCAAGGTCACCCCCAGGCTCTCCCCTTGCCGCACTGGCCCGACCGTTCCCGACTGCCCCTGGCTCTGGTGCCGTTCCCACACTTTTGGACTCCCACGCGCCAGATTCGTTGGAGACTGCATGCTCTGAGTGCGCTTGGGCCGTGTGCTCTGAGATCTTGGCGTCGCATGTGTTGTCAAGGGCGATCTTGCCTCGATTCAGGCCCCGGGACCCTCACGGATCGACCCGGCTCAAAAAATGTCGCGGTAAGGTGGTGTCCAGGGCTCCATTCGAGGGTTTTCCAAGATTTTTCGATTTTTGTTCGTCACGGCGGATCTCAGGGTCGGAGGGCATCCAGCGCCTTATAGTCTGCCAGCTGCTTTGGCTCGGCATCGAAACACCGATGCCCTGGCTCGAGCATCGGAGTGCAGAGCAACCTGATCAAAGCCATAAAGACAACGCGCCAACATAAGTAGACCCGTGCCCCCAATAATACAGCATCCCCCCTTCAACAACGAGTGTTGGTTATATCAGGCCAAAGCAGGGTTGGTCGGGGGAGAGGAGCGGCAAGGCCGAACTTCATTGTCACTGGGGATGGTACAGATCGAAGTAGCGATCTTCTGATGTTGAATATCGTAGTAGACAGCCTACATTCGTGTTCTTCTACTCTTGCTACTACTACTACTACTACTACTACTACTACTACTACTACTACTACTACTACTACTACTACTACTACTACTACTACTACTACTACTACTACTACTACTACTACTACTACTACTACTACTACTACTACTACTACTACTACTACTACTACTACTACTACTACTACTACTACTACTACTACTACTACGACGACTACGACTACGATTACTACTACAGCACCGACTACTACTGTTATTACTACTACTACTACGACTATTACCACCACTACTACTACGACTGTCACTACGGCTACGACCACGGCGACGACGACGAGGACGACGACGATTTTACGACTACTACAACTACTACTACGACTACAACTGCTACGGCTACTACTACGATTACGACTACTACTACGACGACGACGAGGACGACGACGATTACTACTACGACTATTACTATTACTACTACTAAGACTACGAGTAGTAGTAGTAGTAGTAGTAGTAGTAGTAGTAGTAGTAGTAGTAGTAGTAGTAGTACTGTTACTACTACTACTACTACTACTACTACTACTACTACTACTACTAATACTAATACTACTACTACTACTACTACTACTACTACTACTACCTATTACTACTACTACTACTACTACTACTACTACTACTACTACTTTCACTACTACTATACTACTACTACTACTACTACTTCTTCTACTACCCCTACTACTACGACTTCTACTACTACCACGACTACTACGACTACACTTACATTGACTGCTATTTTTATTGTTTTCTCTACTATTCCTGGTTGCACTACTACTACGAATCGTATCACTTCGAGGATCACGATTATTTGTACTCTTGTATCTATTGTCACTAGTCTTACTCTTATCATTACTACCACTACCACCACCACTACTACGACGACTGCTACGACTAAGACTCACAAATCATGTTTTACGACTGGTATTTTGACGGTTTCGATGTTTTTCTACGACCATTAATATTTGCACAACTACTACGGCTACGGCTACGATTGAAACCTTGAAAGAAACAACTTCTTCCACTACCCCGACGATCGCTGCTACTACTACGATTCCTAAAACAACTCCTACGACTACTACTACTGCTACTGCTATTATTAGTACATATTTTCCTTGGACTGCGACCACTACCACTACCACTACCACTACGTTAATAGTACTACTACCGCTACGACTACGACTACGACTGCTACTTCTGATATTTTCTATTACAGATACCACTGATATTATTACGAGTTCTCCTCCCACCACCTACTATTTCTATTAATACTACCACGAGTATTGCTACTACTGCTACTATTACTACTACTACTACTACTACTACTACTACTCCTACTCCTACTCCTACCACTACCACTACCACTACTACTACTACTACTACTACTACTACTACTACTACTACTACTACTACTACTACTACTACTGCATCGATGACGATCACTTCACCAATTTCGTCGAACTACGACCAGTACATCCATCTTTGGCTACTACGGCGGCAACTGCTACTACTTCTTCTACTGGTGCCTTTCTGAGCATGATTACCACTACGACTACTACGACGCTGATACGACTACTGCGGTTACGACTACGTTTACTACGACCACTGCTACCACTACTACTACTACTACTACTACTCCTACTACGACTACTACTACTACTACTACTACTACTACTACAACTACTACTACTACTACCACCACGACTACGACTACGACTGCGACTACGACTACGACTACTTCTACCATTACGGCTATTTCTAGTGTTACGAGAACTACGAGTATTTTTCAAGTATGTTTATGACTACTGTTGTTTGTTTGCTTCAATGTTTTACAGCCACTGTTACTTTCAGGGGTATTATTTCAGCAGTAGTAGTAGTAGTAGTAGTAGTAGTAGTAGTAGTAGTAGTAGTAGTAATGGACTAGGATTAGTAGTAGTAGTAGTAGTAGTAGTAGTAGTAGTCGTCGTCGTCGTAGTACTAGTAGTAGCAGTACTACTGCTATTAAAATTTCTACTACGTCCATTTTTTTCAACACGATCACTACGATTGCCATTACTACTAAGACGACGACGGGTACTACTACAGTCTGTACTCGCGCCTCCCAGCGGGCGTTTTTGTTGTTCAGGTTTTTCTTCGATCGCGGGATAATCGTCGAGATGTTTTCTCTCGCGAGGACTTGACAGCATGATTGGCCCAGTTTTGTTTCTTTTCGAAGGATTCGGCAAGGTCCGGGACTTCTTTCTATGAGTTCTCTTCTTTCTCTTCCCATCTCCAGTCCATACTGCTACTGCTGCTGACACCATTGTTTTTATTACCATTGCGACTACCACTACGACGACGACGGCTATTCGGACTACTGTCGCTACTACTAGTACTAGTACTACTACTACTACTACTACTACTACTACTACTACTACTACTACTACTACTACTACTACTACTACTACTACTACTACTACTACTACTACTACTACTACTACTACTACTACTACTACTACTACTACTACTACTACTACTACTACTACTACTACTACTACTACTACTACTACTACTACTACTACTACTACTACTACTACTACTACTACCTACTACTACTACACTACTACGACTACCACTACCACTACTACGACTATTACTACTTTTACCACTTCTACTACCACTACTACTACTACTCCTACTCCTACTACTACTTCTTCTTCTACCACTGCTACTACGAATGCTACGCCTACTACTACGATTACGACGGGTAGTATTACGTACTAATACTTCTGCTGCTACTATTACTGCGAGCACGACCACTACTACTACTACTACTACTACTACTACTACTATTTCTACTACTGCTACTACCACTACTACTACTACTACTACTACTACTACTACTACTACTACTACTACTACTACTACTACCACTACTACTGCTACTACTACTACTACTACTACTACTACTACTACATACTACTGCTACTACTACGACTCCTACTACTACACCTACTACTACTAGTACTACTACTACTACGACTACTACTACTACTACTACTACTACGACTACTACTACTACTACTACTGCTGGTATCACTACTACTACTACTACTACTACTACTACTACTGCTACTACTACCACTACTACTACTACTACTACTACTACTACTACTACTACTACCACCTACTACGACGACGACGACGACTACTACTACTACGACTACGACTACTGCTACCACCACTACGATCGTTTCCTACCTCTGTTATTATTAATGCTACGACTACTACTGCTACTTTTACTACGAATTATATTAGTATTACTTCTACTTGTGCTATTACTGCTGTTGCTGCTGCAGTGTCTGCTACTACGTCTGCTAGTGCTACTACTTCTACGTCTCTCTACTACTATTACTACTACTACTACTACTACTACGACTACTACGACTACTACTACTGCTACGACTACTAGTACTAGTACTAGTAGTAGTACTACTACTACTACTACTACTACTACTACTACTACGACTACTACTACTACCACT